TTGCAGCTTACCAGTCCTAGGTTGTGTAGTCTGCATTAGGTTTTCTTTTTCAGGCTTTTTTCCCCCTAATTTCCACCTGTTGATCCTGCCAGTAACTTCTTTGTGTATAAAGTCAATGAGAAAGCCAAACAAAGCCTGAGAGTCCAAAAACGTTTAATATTGGTATTCATTCACAGCAAGATAATTGGGACTTTTTTGCCTTCTTGTCAAGTATTTGGTTGGAGGCCAAAGTGATGAGGAGGCTTCCCTTGCGATCGAGGTGGGGACAGGGAATGCAGGGCTCGGAGAAGCTTGGGTTGCCTTCTCGCTGTGACGCATGTCTGGAGGGTTGCTGGACAGGGCGTCCAGGTAGTCAGCTGTAGTACTGGAACCCCAAGTGGTGAGGCAGGTCCAGAACAGCAGCAGGAGGTAGGTAATACCTTGTGGAAGGTAGAAGGTCAGGTGGGCAGATCAGATCAGAAGCGGTGTAGTCCTGATCAGAGCCAAGGTCATACATGGAGGATTAACTGACGAGGTGGCAAGAGTGAAGTCAGGGAAGAGCCGGGGTCGTGCACAGCAGCCAGGCGTGAGGACAAGAGAGTAGTCAGGAGGGCAGGCCAGGGTTGGTTGGTCAGGCATAGATGGTACTGGAACCCCAAGTGGTGAGGCAGGTCTGGAACAGCAGCAGGAGGTAGGTAATACCTTGTGGCAGGTAGAAGGTCAGGTGGGCAGATCAGATTTGAAGCGGTGTAGTCATGATCAGAGCCAAGGTCATACATGGAGGATCAACTGACGAGGTGGCAAGAGTGAAGTCAGGGAAGAGCCGGGGTCGTGCACAGCAGCCAGGCGTGAGGACAAGAGAGTAGTCAGGAGGGCAGGCCAGGGTTGGTTGGTCAGGCATAGACGGTCATGGATGGTAGAGAGACCATAAGAGTGAGCCAAGGTCAGAACCGGGAGTCAGGCAGAAGACCAGAAACACAGAAACAAGAGCAATGGGGAGCCTAAGGTCAACCAGCAATCTGAAGGCTGATGTACTTATAAACGGCATTTGGCGCCATTCTTGGATTTGGGTGTGCACCAGTGCATGGTGGCACATTCCTATTGCGTCCTTGCGTTTTCCTTATGCGTCTGCATGCATTCCTATGCGGATGAGCGCGGCCATGCAATGTACTGGCAACGGTGCCAGCTCTTCATTTCTTGGATCCAAGTAGCGTCCTGACACTTCCTCTGAATCAACTACGAGTATAACGTCTTGTATTTGAAGACTTTCAATTTATGTATTTTTTCTTTTTTCTTTTTAAATTGGTTGAAATAGATGGACTTCCGTCTTCTCAACCTGTGTAACTATTACCCAATGCGTTTCCAGGGCTCCAAAACCTCTCCCTTCTTCAGGGCATTTGTCTGTTTTTATGGCCCCGAGTAAGTTGGGAACTTTGGAGTCCCAGAAATACGTTGGAAGTGTTAGGTTATCCTGGTGTGAAGTAATACCGATTATTAAAACTTTTTGGACTTGGACCTCTTTGTTTGATGCTCACATTAGACTTTAGACATGTAGATCCTCAAGTTTAGGTCTCTTTTTATGGAGAGCAATCTCAAAGGAGGCAGTGCTCAACAGCTGGGACATAGGAGCCTATGGGTGGCATCACTGGTCCCAGAATCTCCAGTCGTTGTCAGTTCTCCTTGGTCCAGTCACATGATCTGGCTCCCCAGTGTCAGTCAGTGGCAGCTGCAGGGGAGAGGAGGGAGTTGTAAACAATCGCTGGGACATGGGAGCCTATGGATGACATCACTGGTCCCAGATTCTCCAGTCATTGTCAGAGCTTCCTCTTTGGTCTAGTCACATGATCTGGCTCCCCAGTGTCAGTCAGTGGCAGCTGCAGGGAGGAGGAGGGAGTGCTAAACAATGGCTGAGACATAGGAGCCTTTGGCTGACTTCACCAGTCCTGGAATCTCCAGTCGTTGTCAGTGCTCCCTCTTTGGTCCAGTCACATGATCTGGCTCCCCAGTGTCAGTCAGTGGCAGCTGCAGGGAAGAGGAGGGAGTGATAAACAATCGCTGGGACATGGGAGCCTATCGGTGACATCACTGGTTCCAGAATCTCCAGTCATTGTCAGTCCTTTTTGGTCCAGTCACATGATCTGGCTCCCCAGTTTCAGTCAGTGGCAGCTGCAGGGGGGAGGAGGGCGTGCTAAACAACATCTGGGACATGGGAGCCTTTGCCTGACTTCAATCCTGGAATCTCCAGTCATTGTCAGTGCTCCCTCCTTGGTCCAGTCACATGATCTGGCTCCCCAGTGTCAGTCAGTGGCAGCTGCAGGGGGGAGGAGGGAGTGCTAAACAATCGCTGGGACATGGGAGCCTAAGGGTGACATCACTGGTCCCAGAATCTCCAGTCGTTGTCAGTGCTTTCTCTTTGGTCCAGTCACATGATCTGGCTCCCCAGTTTCAGTCAGTGGCAGCTGCAGGGGGGAGGAGGGCGTGCTAAACAACATCTGGGACATGGGAGCCTTTGCCTGACTTCAATCCTGGAATCTCCAGTCATTGTCAGTGCTCCCTCCTTGGTCCAGTCACATGATCTGGCTCCCCAGTGTCAGTCAGTGGCAGCTGCAGGGGGGAGGAGGGAGTAATAATGGCTGAGACATGGAAGCCTATGACTGACATCACCAATCCTGGAATCTTCAGCTGTTGCCAGTGCCCCCTCCTCTCCCCTGCAGCTGCCATTGGCTGACACTGGGGAGCCAGATTATGTGACCGGACCAGAGCGGGCTGATAATAGGTAAGTATATTCATCTGTTTTACAAAGGTTAGTCAGCATAGGCGTTAGGGGATGGGGGGGGGGGGGGGGGGGGGGAGGGGGACATTTTTAGGTCTAGTTAGGGTTATGCTGGAATTCGACTTTTAGATCCAGCATCTTGGTTTTTTTTAGATTTTGAGTTACACACTTCCTGTCCTTCCTAGGGTGACAACGCTTTCTCGGTGTGCTTTATCTATGGAAGAGCAGCACTGTCACACTAGGACAAGAAGTCCCTTTGTGGCCTCTACGATTAAGCCCCGAAAAAGGCGAAACACGTCTGAGGAGATCTCTACAGCTGGAGAACAGAAGATTCACATTTATGCAACACGGAGTTGGTGTCTGTGTGCAGGCGGCCATCATTTTGTTGAGGACTACAGAACACCTACCCCTTTCCTCATCTCTGTAACTACCAGGGAGGTGTTCTATAGTCGACAGAGAGAACCCATTGATCACATTGAGAAGTGTTTGAGACAGGGGCGGACTGACCATTTGGAAACTCGGGCACTGCCCGAGGGCCCGGGGTCAGTAGGGGGCCAGTATGAGATGCCCTTGGTACCTTTTTCATAGGCTTTTTTGAGTTTGGGCAAGGACACAGGGCCCCATGATCCCCTATTGCCCGGGGGCCCCATGAGTTGTCAGTCTGCCCCTGGTTTGAGATTTCCAAGTGCAGCACTGAAGTTATCGGCTCACTAGATTTCTGGCAGGATCAACTGGGATCAACTCAAAGACGCCATTCACACAGGCATATATAAAAGTTGAATTGCTCCCTAATGTTAGGTTCACCGGGGACCCATACTACGAAGGCTCTACCAAAGGAGGGAAGCTCTCCTAGAAGAGACCTCCATGTTCACAACCAGGGGTGTATTTACCACAAGGCACTTGCCTAGGGCGGCATTTTTCAGGGGGGCAGCACATCCCCTCAGAAGAAGGGATGAAAGAAGGGATACACACACAATGGGAACCAGGTGGGATCCAAGAGAGACTGTGGGCTGCTTGATGGTGTATGTGGAGCCTGACTCCAGGGATGTCCAGAGCTCTGAAGATGAGTGTCTTTCTCTATATCACCGAGGGGTAGTGGAAGGCTTTCCCAAGTGGGGGGGCAGGGGTGTTGTTGGTCAATGTCAGGCTCTCTGAGTTCAGCCAAGGTTGCCAACGTTTGTTGATTTTTTGAGGACACGCTCTTCGGTTGCATATAATTTTGAGTTCAGGCAGAAGCTCATTGATGAGTCTTACCAGTTGACTGGTCTACAGTGGAAAAGTTCCTTCCATTACCAGACGAAAAGGAGGCAAAGAAGAGATGATCAGAGTTACGGAAACCTCCAATCGTCTAATAATCGCACTAATCGTTTTTTTGCTGTTCTGTTCCTCGGTACCAGGTGAGCCTGTGCACGCCGAGTGAGAACACTCCCACGGAGAGCCTAGCCCGGCTGGTCAGCATGGTGTTCCAGTGGTTCCATTCCACGGCTTACATGATGGACGATGAGGTCGGCAGCCTCGTGGAGAAGCTCAAACCTCAGTTTGTCACCAAGTGGCTGAAGACGGTGTGCGACATTCGCTTCGATGTCATGGTTATGTGCCTGCTGCCCAAACCCATGGAATTTGCCAGGGTAGGTTCTGAGCCCAATGATGAGTGAAGTTCTGTGTCTATGGCTGACCCTCACTGGCAGCTTCATCTGTTACTAAAAGAACATTTTTAATGGTTTGGGGTCCATTTTATTTATGTTTTTATGTTTGTCCATTTTTAAACGGATGCCTTTATTTATATAAAGTGGTGTCACAGAGAAGTCTGAGTTTTAAAAAAAGACTGTTTGCCTTCAGACTGTCTCTCTTTCATTGAAGCTTTGATTAGAACAGGAAGGGGCCACTGTGTGGGCTTATTCAGCTTAAGTTACTGAGCTCTGTATACATTGGCTTCCAGATAACGATAGGCTGGAACTATACTTTACATGATAAAGAAGGAATATATTTACTCTAGGACCAAAGGTTTGTGAACACCTGACCATTACACCTATATGAGCTTGTTGAACATCTCATTGCAAAATCATGGCCATTTATATGGAGTTGCCCCACCTACCCCCATGGCCATTTATATGGAGCTGTCCCCCCTACCCCCATGGCCATTTGTATGGAGCTGTCCCCCCTACCCCCATGGCCATTTATATGGAATTGTCCCGCCTACCCCCATGGCCATTTATATGGAGTTACCTCACCTACCCCCATGGCCATTTATATGGAGCTGTCCCGCCTACCCCGATGGCCATTTATATGGAATTGTCCCGCCTACCCCCATGTCCATTTATATGGAGCTGTCCCACCTACCCCCATGGCCATTTATATGGAGCTGTCCCACCTACCCCCATGGCCATTTATATGGAGTTGTCCCACCTACCCCCATTATCATTATTATGGAGTTGTCCCACCTACCCCCATGTCCATTTATATGGAATTGTCCCGCCTACCCCCATGGCCATTTATATGGAGTTGCCCCACCTACCCCCATGGCCATTTATATGGAGCTGTCCCCCCTACCCCCATGGCCATTTATATGGAATTGTCCCGCCTACCCCCATGGCCATTTATATGAAGTTGTCCCACCTACCCCCATGGCCATTTATATGGAGTTGTCCCGCCTACCCCCCATTATCATTATTAGGGAGTTGTCCTCCCACCCTTATGGACATTAATATGGAGTTGCCCCCTACCCCTATGGCCATTAATATGAAGTTGTCCTCCTACCTATAGCCATTAGTATGAAGTTGCCCCCTTAGCCCCATTGCCATTAATATAAAGCTGCCCCCCCATGGCCATTAATATGGAGTTGCCTCCACCCCCATGGCCATTAATATGGAGTTGCCCCCATACCCCCATGGCCATTAATATGGAGTTGCCCCCATACCCCCATGGCCATTAATATGGAGTTGCCCCCATACCCCCATGGCCATTAATATGGAGTTGCCCCCCTACCCTCATGGTCTTTAATGTGGTGTTGTCTCCTCTACCCCAATGGACATTATTATGGAGTTGGCCCCCCTACACCCATGGACATTAATATGAAGGTGTCCACCCCTATAGCCATTAATGTGGAGTTGACTCCATACCCCCATGACTATTAATATTGAGTTGTCTTCCTTCCCCATGCCCATTAATATGGAGTTGCCCCCCCCCCCCCCCAAGGCCATTAATATGGAGTTGCCCCCCCCCCCCCCTCATGGCCATTAATATGGTGTTGTCCTATCTACCCCCCATAACCATTAATATGGAGTTGTCCCCTCTACCCTCATGGTCATTAATATGGAGTTGTCCCCTCTACCCCCATGGCTATTATTATGGAGTTGCCCCCCTACACCCATGGCCATTAATATGGAGTTGTTTCCTTCCCCCATGACCATGAATATGGAGTCCCCCCCACCCTTGGCCATTAATATTGAGTTGTCCTCCTACGTCTATGGACGTTAATATGGAGTTGTCCTCCAACCCCTAAGTCTTCTGGGAAGACTTTCCACCAGACTTTGGGGGGTGTCTTTGGGAATCTGCCCAATTTGTGAGGTCAGGTACTGATGTTGGATGAGCAGACCTGGCTCACCATCAGTGTTCCAGTTCACCCCAAGGGTGCTCAGTAGGGTTGAGGTCCAGGCTCTGTGCAGGACACTATAGCTTTCATAGCACTAAAACACTTAGATTTGGGCATAGCCCAAAGTTGGGCCTAGACCGGAATGCTTGTCTGGCTACGGTGATTCTTCCTCGATGGTGACAGTGTCTCAATCATGGTACGTTGATTCCATGGGGAAGGAAAGGGTCAAGCCTGCTTATACAGAGTGATTTCAGGGAAATAAAAACCTACCTGTGGAATAACAAGCTGGAGGATCTCATGATCACCTCCTAGGGGCTTAGAAATGGCACAAAAATTGCAAATGAAGAAAACGCGAGCCTGACCGGTAGTTGTCCAACTGTCTGTAGACAACCTCCCTCTAGTAGAAGGGCTATTTGAGGTGCTTCTTTGTTGAGGGTCAGAGGCACCACTAGAGGGCAGCCTCGCTCCTCCGTGGAAAAGTTTCTCCAGCTTCCAAAAATGAAAATCTACAGAAAACATTTTGGGGGTTTTCTATGAGTTCTGCAAGTCTGAGAGGTGCACGATGGAGAATAAAGTACGTGAGGTGTTTATGGCTTTCATATGTGCCCAAAGTTGAGGCAGCACCATTCACATCAATTCTATTAGATCATGCAATGACATCGCCTTCCGGTGGCAGAAAATAAATATTTCATCCTTTCATTAAACCCCATGGATGTATCTTTTTATTTTTTTTTTAAACTCCTCCCTGCCCGGCCTATTGTACAATGACGGGCGAGCAGGAACCCTGTTATCCTGGGAGGACATCATGAAATGTCCTCCAAGGATCGCGCCTTGTGCATTCCCCCACGGGCCACGCCCTGGCGTGATCTGTCACTGGTACCCTGTGTTCTGTACTCCTGTTGTCACCCCCATACTGGTACGTGTGTTCTTTACTCCTGTTGTCACCCCCCATACTGGTACCCTGTGTTCTGTACTCCTGTTGTCACCCCCATACTGGTACCGTGTGTTCTGTACTCCTGTTGTCACCCCCATACTGGTACCGTGTGTTCTCTACTCCTGTTGTGACCCTCATACTAGTACCGTGTGTTCTGTACTCCTGTTGTCACCCCCATACTGGTACCGTGTGTTCTGTACTCCTGTTGTCACCCCCCATACTAGTACCCTGTGTTCTGTACTCCTGTTGTGACCCCAATACTGGTACCCTGTGTTCTGTACTCCTGTTGTCACCCCCATACTGGAACCCTGTGTTCTGTACTCCTGTTGTGACCCCCATACTGGTACCCTGTGTTCTGTACTCCTGTTGTGACCCCCATACTGGTACCGTGTGTTCTGTACTCCTGTTGTGACCCTCATACTAGTACCGTGTGTTCTGTACTCCTGTTGTCACCCCCATACTGGTACCGTGTGTTCTGTACTCCTGTTGTCACCCCCCATACTAGTACCCTGTGTTCTGTACTCCTGTTGTGACCCCAATACTGGTACCCTGTGTTCTGTACTCCTGTTGTCACCCCTATACTGGTACCCTGTGTTCTGTACTCCTGTTGTCACCCCCATACTGGTACCCTGTGTTCTGTACTCCTGTTGTGACCCATATATTGGTACCCTGTGTTCTGTACTCCTGTTGTGACCCCCATACTGGTACCGTGTGTTTCTGTACTCCTGTTGTGACCCCCATACTGGTACCCTGTGTTCTGTACTCCTGTTGTGACCCCCATACTGGTACCGTGTGTTCTGTACTCCTGTTGTGACCCCCATACTGGTACCCTGTGTTCTGTACTCCTGTTGTGACCCCCATACTGGTACCGTGTGTTCTGTACTCCTGTTGTGACCCCCATACTGGTACCGTGTGTTCTGTACTCCTGTTGTGACCCCCATACTGGTACCGTGTGTTCTGTACTCCTGTTGTCACCCCCCATACTGGTACCCTGTGTTCTGTACTCCTGTTGTCACCACTATACTGGTACCCTGTGTTCTGTACTCCTGTTGTGACCCATATACTGGTACCCTGTGTTCTGTACTCCTGTTGTGACCCATATACTGGTACCCTGTGTTCTGTACTCCTGTTGTGACCATATACTGGTACCCTGTGTTCCGTACTCCTGTTGTGACCCCCATACTGGTACCCTGTGTTCTGTACTCCTGTTGTGACCCCCATACTGGTACCGTGTGTTCTGTACTCCTGTTGTGACCCTCATACTAGTACCGTGTGTTCTGTACTCCTGTTGTCACCCCCATACTGGTACCGTGTGTTCTGTACTCCTGTTGTCACCCCCCATACTAGTACCCTGTGTTCTGTACTCCTGTTGTGACCCCAATACTGGTACCCTGTGTTCTGTACTCCTGTTGTCACCCCCATACTGGAACCCTGTGTTCTGTACTCCTGTTGTGACCCCCATACTGGTACCCTGTGTTCTGTACTCCTGTTGTGACCCCCATACTGGTACCGTGTGTTCTGTACTCCTGTTGTGACCCCCATACTGGTACCCTGTGTTCTGTACTCCTGTTGTGACCCCCATACTGGTACCGTGTGTTCTGTACTCCTGTTGTGACCCCCATACTGGTACCGTGTGTTCTGTACTCCTGTTGTGACCCCCATACTGGTACCATGTGTTCTGTACTCCTGTTGTGACCCCCATACTGGTACCGTGTGTTCTGTACTCCTGTTGTGACCCCCATACTGGTACCGTGTGTTCTGTACTCCTGTTGTGACCCTGGTATGTGCGCAGGTTTGCCTCAATTTCTGCATGCAGGAGGTAAGTGAGAGATATCCTCCTTCATAGACGTTTTCCTTCTTCGGTGAAGTAACTTGTCTCACTCCTCCAGGTTGGCGGATATTGGGACAAGTCCTGCAGCACAGTCACCCAGCTGAAGGAAGGTCTGAACAGAATTTTGTGCCTTATCCCTTATAACGTCATAAACCAGCCGGTCTGGGAGTGTATCATGCCGGAGTGGCTGGAGGCCATCAGGACGGAGGTCCCGGACCACCAGCTCAAGGAGTTCCGAGAGGTCCTCAGGTAAGTCGGACATGTCTTGCAGTAATGGGGGTCGGCAGACAAAAGAATTAAAGTGTATGTCAGCTCTCACAATAAATGTCCCGTATCGGAGACGTTCCTTCTTTGGATTTCCATCCAATTTCCCATTCACTGTTCTGATAACATTCTTCCTTCATCTGCAGTAAAATGTTTGATATCGAGTTGTGCCCGCTGCCCTTCTCCATGGAAGAGATGTTCGGCTTCATCAGCTGCCGATTCACCGGTTACCCATCCTCCGTCCAGGAACAAGCTTTGCTCTGGCTACATGTGAGTGTCCTGTATACATGTCCTAGTCCTCCACAATATTCACAAATATCATCCGCACCCAACTCCAGTGTGGACGCCTCCTTTGTCTTCCTGTCATGGTCCTTTTCTCTTTTTAACCACCTCCCGTCCTGCCGTTGTATATAAACGGCCAGATGGTGGCAGTGCAGGGGCGGGTGGCTGTTTATAAACGTCCTCCCCCACCCCCTGCTTGTGTGCGCTCCCTGGGAGTGCGCAGCACCTCCATCTGGTGCCCGCTGTGTCCTCTAGACACAGTGGAATACCGAACGTTGTACGGGACCTCTGTGTGAGGTCCTGATCATGTGATCACTGATTGGCCAATCAGTGATCACTTGCAGAGTAGTAAGCAAGATGTCACTTCTGACATCATTGCTTACTATGTGTGAAATCTGTGAATGATCACAGAGATCACATGGTACAGGGCCATTCACAACAGCCTTGTACCATGTGACAAGCTGTGACCAATCACAGCTCACACAGTATTTCTCAATGGCTGCAGGAATGCAGCCAGAGAGAAGGAGAAATGATTCCTCTTACAGCCTTTATGGGTGTAAAAGCAATCAGTGTAAAAAAAAATCTTCATCACCCCCCCACAAGTAGTACAGTGTCATTATGGAGACACTGTACTGCAAGGGTGACAGTATGTAAAAAAAAATAGATAATAATATAAAAAAAATATTAAAAATGTAAAAAAAAAGTTTAAAAATTATAATTTTTGGTTATAACCTAATTTGGACATAGTACAGGAGATGACAGGAGACTGCGGACACAGTACAGGAGATGACCAGAGACTGCGGACATAGTACAGGAGATGACCGGAGACTGCGGACACAGTACAGGAGATGACCAGAGACTGCGGACATAGTACAGGAGATGACCGGAGACTGCGGACATAGTACAGGGGATGACCAGAGACTGCGGACATAGTACATGAGATGACCGGAGACTGCGGACATAGTACAGGAGATGACCGGAGACTGCGGACACAGTACAGGAGATGACCAGAGACTGCGGACATAGTACAGGAGATGACCGGAGACTGCGGACACAGTACAGGAGATGACCAGAGACTGCGGACATAGTACATGAGATGACCGGAGACTGCGGACATAGTACATGAGATGACCGGAGACTGCGGACATAGTACAGGAGATGACCGGAGACTGCGGACATAGTACATGAGATGACCGGAGACTGCGGACATAGTACAGGAGATGACCGGAGACTGCGGACACAGTACAGGAGATGACCAGAGACTGCAGACATAGTACAGGAGACGACCAGAGACTGCGGACACAGTACAGGAGATGACCAGAGACTGCGGACATAGTACAGGAGACGACCAGAGACTGCGGACACAGTACAGGAGATGACCAGAGACTGCGGACACAGTACAGGAGATGACCAGAGACTGCGGACACAGTACAGGAGATGACCAGAGACTGCAGACATAGTACAGGAGACGACCAGAGACTGCAGACATAGTACAGGAGACGACCAGAGACTGCGGACACAGTACAGGAGATGACCAGAGACTGCGGACACAGTACAGGAGATGACCAGAGACTGCGGACACAGTACAGGAGATGACCGGAGACTGCGGACATAGTACAGAAGATGACCGGAGACTGTGGACACAGTACAGGAGATGACCAGAGACTGCGGACACAGTACAGGAGATGACCAGAGACTGCGGACATAGTACAGAAGATGACCGGAGACTGTGGACACAGTACAGGAGATGACCAGAGACTGCAGACATAGTACAGGAGATGACCAGAGACTGCAGACATAGTACAGGAGATGACCAGAGACTGCAGACCTTTGGAGAGCAGAAGAGGGGGGGGGGAGCGGGTACCCGATTTTTCCAGGTACCTGCTCCCACTTCTGCGGAGTTGTCCTCCCTGTAGTCTTCTGGGACACGTGACAGGTCCCAGAAGACTGCCGGATCATTCACAAAGCGCAGTGCTTCTTGCACATGCCCAGTCGGCACCCGGCTCTGAAGCCGCAAGCTGTCACAGCCGGGTGCCCACACTGAAGATGCCGACGCCGGGAGAGAAGACGGTGAGGACACCGCTGGACCGAGGAGCAGGTAGGACAGTGAAGAATCTGCTGCACAGAAGAGCCGAGCAGATACACGCCGACGGCGGGAATACCGGGCCGGCCGCTCCATATTCGCTCCATAAGACGCACAGACATTTCCCCCATTTTTTTTTTGGGGGGGGGAAAGTGCGTGTTATGGAGCGAAAAATACAGTAATTTGAAGGAGCGGGTTGGAAAATATTTCTTGAGCAAACAAATTTTTACTGGGAAATGTGCTTTTCATCTGGGAAAGTCCATTCACTGCAAAATCAAAGGTTAAAAGCCGACATTTGATCGACACCCTTTCAGAAGACGTTCATCCTTTCATGGGATGGACTCCTGAGAATTTGTGTGCAAATGTTTATACAACGATTTGTTTGGAAATCCTCCAGTGTATGGCCGGCCTGAGTCTTGTTCTGCAATGAGATGCATTGGACGTCTGGGCCAGGGGCGGACTGACAACTCATGGGGCCCCCAGGCAATAGGGGATCATGGGGCCCCTGTGTCCTCGCCCCACACTCAAACCAAACCCAAAAAAGCCTATGAAAGATACCAGGGGCATCTCTTAGGGCCCCCTACTGACCCCGGGCCCTCGTGTCCGAATGGTCAGTCCGCCCCTGGTCCGGGGAACGTTCATCCTGATACTGTTCCATAATTCCAGGAATTAATGTCTCTTCTTCCCAATTTTTTCTTTTACTTTGAAACTTTTTGAACCCTTCGCCGCGCTCCGAGGTTGTTGATTTTCTTGTCGTTTCGCAGGTTTTGTCAGAACTGGACATTGTGGTCCCTCTTCAGCTGTTGATCAGCATGTTCTCCGATGGGGTGAACTCGGTGAAGGAGCTGGCCAATCAGAGGAAAGTCCGAATCACCGAGATGTCCGGGAACGTCCCTGGAAACCGGGTAAATGAGACCGGGCCAGCTCTGTATTCTGATGTGACATTAACCCTTTCCCGCCCACCCCCGGAGCCCCTTTCACAATCCCGGATCGGCAATCACGTGACAACTGTTGCAGTAAGCACATGAGCAAGAGACGGTCCCGCTGGCTACCGATCTTTAGTCCAGTCCCGCTGGCTACCGATCTTTAGTCCAGTCCTGCTGGATACTGATCTTTAGTCCAGTCCTGCTGGATACTGATCTTTAGTCCAGTCCTGCTTGCTACCGATCTTTAGTCCAGTCCTGCTTGCTACCGATCTTTAGTCCAGTCCTGCTGGCTACCAATCTTTAGTCCAGTCCCGCTGGCTACCGATCTTTAGTCCAGTCCTGCTCCCGCTGGCTACCGATCTTTAGTCCAGTCCCGCTGGCTACCGATCTTTAGTCCAGTCCTGCTCCCGCTGGCTACCGATCTTTAGTCCAGTCCCGCTGGCTACCGATCTTTAGTCCAGTCCCGCTGGCTACCGATCTTTAGTCCAGTCCCGCTGGCTACCGATCTTTAGTCCAGTCCTGCTGGCTACCGATCTTTAGTCCAGTCCTGCTGGCTACCGATCTTTAGTCCAGTCCTGCTGGCTACCGATCTTTAGTCCAGTCCTGCTGGCTACCGATCTTTAGTCCAGTCCCGCTGGCTACCGATCTTTAGTCCAGTCCTGATCCCGCTGGGTACCGATCTTTAGTCCAGACCGAGAGCTTTTTTTGACAGCTCAGTTCTTGTGCTGGGAGCCCGAAGTGAACGATCTGTCAGCACATGAACATCGGCTGCCCAGCAGTGCGTACACGCGCGGTGTGTGGGCATTAAAGCCCGCCCCTTTCCCGCTGCACACGCGTGTTGGTCGGTCACATCTGTACCCTAACTGGACTAGATTTGGTTTGGTAAAGCGCTGAGTATTGTAAACAATTGCTGCTCCTCTGCTTCCATGTTGCCTGTATTCATGGTTCCCCATGTCTCTTACAGAGCAGCATTGCTTCGGATCCAGGGCGTCGGGTCCTGCACACTATGCTGAGTCCTTTCCCCAGCCCCTTCCACAGTCCCTTCCGGAGTCCCATGCGCAGTCCTTTCCGGAGCCCCTTTAAAAACTACGGACACCCTGGGGGGAGGACCATCGATTTTGACTGCGATGATGAAGAGATGAATCTAAACTGCTTTATCCTCATGTTCGATCTCATATTAAAACAGGTACAGTACCCGAGAGCCTGGAGCTCCCGCTCTTCCTCGCTCCATCCCTAACCCCAACCCTAAATACCTGGACCATTCTACTGTCCGTGGGCTACAGTGCACTATGCATCTTGCTTAGAATTTCAAATGCTGGTAGAGAATGTAAGTAGGAATAAATAAATAATAATTTAAAAAAAATGGTCATAGACTGGGGACATGCTGCGGGTGTAGTTGAAGGCTGGAGATGGTCATAGACTGGGGACATGCTGCAGGTGTAGTTGAAGGCTGGAGATGGTCATAGACTGGGGACATGCTGCGGGTGTAGTTGAAGGCTGGAGATGGTCATAGACTGGGGACATGCTGCAGGTGTAGTTGAAGGCTGGAGATGGTCATAGACTGGGGACATGCTGCGGGTGTAGTTGAAGGCTGGAGATGGTCATAGACTGGGGACATGCTGCGGGTGTAGCTGAAGGCTGGAGATGATCATAGACTGAGGACATGCTGCAGGTGCAGTTGAAGACTGAAGATGGTCATAGACTGGGGACATGCTGCGGGTGTAGTTGAAGACTAAAGATGGTCATAGACTGAGGACATGCTGCAGGTGCAGTTGAAGACTGAAGATGGTCATAGACTGGGGACCTGCTGCGGGTGTAGCTGATGGCTGGAGATGGTCATAGACTGAGGACATGCTGCAGGTGTAGTTGATGGCTGGAGATGGTCATAGACTGGGGACATGCTGCGGGTGTAGCTGAAGGCTGGAGATGATCATAGACTGAGGACATGGTGCAGGTGCAGTTGAAGACTGAAGATGGTCATAGACTGGGGACATGCTGCGGGTGTAGTTGAAGACTAAAGATGGTCATAGACTGAGGACATGCTGCAGGTGCAGTTGAAGACTGAAGATGGTCATAGACTGGGGACCTGCTGCGGGTGTAGTTGATGGCTGGAGATGGTCATAGACTGGGGACATGCTGCAGGTGTAGTTGAAGGCTGGAGATGGTCATAGACTGGGGACATGCTGCGGGTGTAGCTGATGGCTGGAGATGGTCATAGACTGGGGACATGCTGCAGGTGTAGTTGAAGGCTGGAGATGGTCATAGACTGGGGACATGCTGCGGGTGTAGTTGAAGGCTGGAGATGATCATAGACTGGGGACATGCTGCGGGTGTAGCTGATGGCTGGAGATTGTCATAGACTGGGGACATGCTGCGGGTGTAGTTGAAGGCTGGAGATGGTCATAGAAGGTGAAACAGGAAGGCGCTTCTAAGTGCAGAATTCCAGGTCAACTTTAATAAAAATCAGTTAAAAACAATGTAGTGGTACAAACAGGCTCTAATTTAATCCGTCAGTAGCAGGGCTCTGTCCTCTGAGCGATGGAGCCGCTGTGCCAGCCAGCAGCTGCAGGGGAAGCTTGAGGAGAGGTGTTAAAGATTGCTGCCGCTCTGTTCGGACTGCTGGAACGCACGCTGTCCACGGACCTGAAGTGACGTGAGCATGGAGTGGTGACGCGTTTCAGAGCATGAGCAGAGCTCCTTCTTCAAGACCAATGTTCAGGCTTAGGGAAGCTGATGGCTGGAGATGGTCATATACTGGGGACATGGTGCGGGTGTATTTGAAGCCTGGAGATGGTGCTGCGGGTGTAGTTGGAGACTGGAGAAGGCCATAGACTGGGGACATGCTGCGGGTGTAGTTGAAGGCTGGAGATGATCATAGACTGGGGACCTGCTGCGGGTGTAGTTGATGGCTGGAGATGGTCATAGGCTGGGGACATGCTGTAGGTGTAGCTGATGGCTGGAGATGGTCATAGGCTGGGGACATGCTGCAGGTGTAGTTGAAGCCTGGAGATGGTGCTGCGGGTGTAGTTGAAGACTGGAGATGGTCATAGACTGGGAACATGCTGCAGGTGTAGCTGATGGATGGAGATGGTGCTGCGGGTGTAGTTGTAGCCTGGAGATGGTGCTGTGGGTGTAGTTGTAGGCTGGAGATGGTGCTGTGGGTGTAGTTGAAGCCTGGAGATGGTGCTGCGGGTGTAGTTGTAGCCTGGAGATGGTGCTGTGGGTGTAGTTGAAGCCTGGAGATGGTGCTGCGGGTGTAGTTGTAGCCTGGAGATGGTGCAGTGGGTGTAGTTGAAGCCTGGAGATGGTGCTGCGGGTGTAGTTGAAGGCTGGAGATGGTGCTGCGGGTGTAGTTGAAGGCTGGAGATGGTGCTGCGGGTGTAGTTGAAGGCTGGAGATGGTGCTGCGGGGTGTAGTTGAAGGCTGGAGATGGTGCTGCGGGTGTAGTTGAAGGCTGGAGATGGTGCTGCGGGTGTAGTTGAAGGCTGGAGAAGGTGCTGCGGGTGTAGTTGAAGGCTGGAGATGGTGCTGCGGGTGTAGTTGAAGGCTGGAGATGGTGCTGCGGGTGTAGTTGAAGGCTGGAGATGGTGCTGCGGGTGTAGTTGAAAGCTGGAGATGGTGCTGCGAGTGTAGTTGAAGGCTGGAGATGGTGCTGCGGGTGTAGTTGAAGGCTGGAGAAGGTGCTGCGGGTGTAGTTTGAAGGCTGGAGATGGTGCTGCGGGTGTAGTTGAAGGCTGGAGATGGTGCTGCGGGTGTGTGTTGAAGGCTGGAGATGGTGCTGCGGGTGTAGTTGAAAGCTGGAGATGGTGCTGCGGGTGTAGTTGAAGGCTGGAGATGGTGGTGCGGGTGTATTTGAAGGCTGGAGATGGTGCTGCGGGTGTAGTTGAAAGCTGGAGATGGTGCTGGAGTGTAGTTGAAGGCTGGAGATGGTGGTGCGGGTGTATTTGAAGGCTGGAGATGGTGCTGCGGGTGTAGTTGAAGGCTGGAGATAGGCTGCAGGAGACTGTTAAAGACTGGGGAGACTGCTAGAGATCACTGCTATTTTCAACCCCTTTCACAAATGAATGCTTCCTCTGCTGGGACCCAGGGGCCACACCATATACAAAAGAGCCCCATGCGGCCCTCAGGTCACAGATTGGGCCCCATAGCTGTAGAGCATCCCGGGGTATAATGGTGGAAGAGCGATGGGGGGGCGTCTAATAGGACAACCTGCTTGTTGTGTTTCAGATGGAGTTGCAGGATGACGGCATCACGTTGGGTTGGAGAACAGCCTGTCCAAGGATATCATCTCCATCATCAACAACGTGTTCCAGGCCCCCTGGGGCGGCTCCCACACCTGCCAGAAGGATGAGAAGGCCGTGGAGTGCAGCCTGTGTCAGTCCAGCATCCTCTGCTACCAGATGGCCTGCGAGCTGCTGGAGCGCTTGGCGCCCAAGGAGGAGATCCGCCTGGTGGTGAGTCATCCCGGTGTTCCGGGAACTTCCGCGTCCTGCGTAGTATTACCGCTCCCAAGGAGGAGATCCGCCTGGTGGTGAGTCATCCCGGTGTTCCGGGAACCTCCGCGTCCTGCGTAGTATTACCGCTCCCAAGGAGGAGATCCGCCTGGTGGTGAGTCATCCCGGTGTTCCGGGAACCTCCACGTCCTGCGTAGTATTACCGCTCCCAAGGAGGAGATCCGCCTGGTGGTGAGTCATCCCGGTGTTCCGGGAACCTCCGCGTCCTGCGTAGTATTACCGCTCCCAAGGAGGAGATCCGCCTGGTGGTGAGTCATCCCGGTGTTCCGGGAACCTCCACGTCCTGCGTAGTATTACCGCTCCCAAGGAGGAGATCCGCCTGGTGGTGAGTCATCCCGGTGTTCCGGGAACTTCCGCGTCCTGCGTAGTATTACCTCGCCCAAGGAGGAGATCCGCCTGGTGGTGAGTCATCCCGGTGTTCCGGGAACCTCCGTGTCCTGCGTAGTATTACCGCTCCCAAGGAGGAGATCCGCCTGGTGGTGAGTCATCCCGGTGTTCCGGGAACCTCCGTGTCCTGCGTAGTATTACCGCTCCCAAGGAGGAGATCCGCCTGGTGGTGAGTCATCCCGGTGTTCCGGGAACCTCCGCGTCCTGCGTAGTATTACCGCTCCCAAGGAGGAGATCCGCCTGGTGGTGAGTCATCCCGGTGCTCCGGGAACCTCCGCGTCCTGCGTAGTATTACCGCTCCCAAGGAGATCCGCCTGGTGGTGAGTCATCCCGGTGTTCCGGGAACCTCCGCGTCCTGCGTAGTATTACCGCTCCCAAGGAGGAGATCCGCCTGGTGGTGAGTCATCCCGGTGTTCCGGGAACCTCCACGTCCTGCGTAGTATTACCGCTCCCAAGGAGGAGATCCGCCTGGTGGTGAGTCATCCCGGTGTTCCGGGAACCTCCGCGTCCTGCGTAGTATTACCGCTCCCAAGGAGGAGATCCGCCTGGTGGTGAGTCATCCCGGTGTTCCGGGAACCTCCACGTCCTGCGTAGTATTACCGCTCCCAAGGAGGAGATCCGCCTGGTGGTGAGTCATCCCGGTGTTCCGGGAACCTCCGTGTCCTGCGTAGTATTACCGCTCCCAAGGAGGAGATCCGCCTGGTGGTGAGTCATCCCGGTGTTCCGGGAACCTCCGCGTCCTGCGTAGTATTACCGCTCCCAAGGAGGAGATCCGCCTGGTGGTGAGTCATCCCGGTGTTCCGGGAACTTCCGCGTCCTGCGTAGTATTACCGCTCCCAAGGAGGAGATCCGCCTGGTGGTGAGTCATCCCGGTGTTCCGGGAACTTCCGCGTCCTGCGTAGTATTACCGCTCCCAAGGAGGAGATCCGCCTGGTGGTGAGTCATCCCGGTGTTCCGGGAACTTCCGCGTCCTGCGTAGTATTACCGCTCCCAAGGAGGAGATCCGCCTGGTGGTGAGTCATCCCGGTGTTCCGGGAACCTCCGTGTCCTGCGTAGTATTACCTCGCCCAAGGAGGAGATCCGCCTGGTGGTGAGTCATCCCGGTGTTCCGGGAACTTCCGCGTCCTGCGTAGTATTACCGCTCCCAAGGAGGAGATCCGCCTGGTGGTGAGTCATCCCGGTGTTCCGGGAACCTCCGCGTCCTGCGTAGTATTACCGCCCAGAGATGTTCATGCCAGAATTATTGTCAGGATGAGTTCCGGGAGAAACGCGCAGCAGGTCCCCTACACTCACATAGCGGACATTGGAGATGTATGTGGCCCGAGGGCCCGGGGTCAGTAGGGGGCCCCATGAGTTGTCAGTCCGCCCCTGGACTGCGGCAGAGCGACTTCCGTTCTAGATTTGTTCGCTAAATTAATCAGTTATATTCATTCTGTTAGAATGATTCGTTTTTTCGGAATTCGTTTTGTATATTACTTTTTTTTTTTCCAAATTGATTTGAAAGTCGAAATTCAGATTTCGAATTCCGTAATTGATTTTTGGAAGATGTCTGCATTCGTTCTATTTTTTTTTTCTATTATTTTATATTTTATTTTTCTATTCTAGTCTATTCCTTTATTTTTTAATTCTATTCTGTGTTATTCTATTCTATTCTTTATTTTTATATTCTTTATTTTCTGTCCTATTCTATTCTGTTTTTTTCTGTTCTATCCCTTTATTTACTATTCTATTCTGTTCTATTCGATTCCACTCTATTCTGTTCTGTTCTATTTTATTCCTTTCTATTCTATGCTACTCTGTTTTATTCTACTCTATTCTGTTATGTTTTATTCTATTCTATAAAGCAGCCTAAGTGGATCATTATCCTATTTCACTTTTATACCTCACTATGGACTTGCGGATGTAAACGGATGATCAGCTTTTTTTTTCCGTTAATGTCCGCATCTGTTAACATCCGTGGACCATCTCTGTGTAACGTGCGCTGAAACCGCTGCTTGTTGTCTCCATCTGGAGCTCGGTGACAACCCCGGAGCACGTTGTCACCCTATAGCAGGACGTTGCCTGTAGGAGGAGCTCCACGCCAGGGTTCCAACCAATGAAAATGGTTAAAATCGTGAAAGAGTCTGTGAGATCGTCCGATCGTCCTTCTATGGCTGCGTCGCGGACCCCGGGGTGAGCAGAACCATCTTTCGCTTTTCTCGCTGTGGCGCAAACACCTTTCCACCCCCACCTCAGCTGTAATCAGTTTACATCCGTTTTCATCTGTTTTTTGTCCGTTTTTACATCCATTTTTCATCCATATTTTTATCAGTTTACATCTGTTTTTCATCCTTTTTTCATCCGTTTTTTACGTTAGTTTTTCATCCGTTTTTTTTCACCAGTTTTTCATCCATTTATGTTAGTTTTTCATTTTTTTCATGTTTTTCGTCAGTTTACGTCCATTTTTCATCCATATTTTATCACTTTACATCCATTTACTTCCATTTGCATCTGTTTCTCAGCCATTTTTTTAGCAGTTTACATTACATCTGTTTTTCATCCTTTTTTCACCCATCTACGTTAGTTTTTCATCCATTTTTTCATCAGTTTTTTCATCCATTTCTGTTAGTTTTTCATCAGTTTACATCTGTTTTTTTTTCATCTGTTTTTCATCAGTTTGCATCCATTTTTCATCTGTTTTTCGTCGGCTTACATCCATTTACATCCATTTTGAATCCGTTTTTCATCTGTTTTTTTTTATCAGTTTTCCATCCGTTTTTCATGTGTTTTGTTCATGTGTTGTCAGTTTACATCCATTTTTGTCCATTTTCATCAGTTTTTTCATCCTTTTTTTTATCAGTTTACATCTGTTTTTCATCCTTTTTTTAAAACTGTCTTTTATCAGTTTACATCTGTTTTTTCATCCATTTTTTTCATCAGTTTTTCATCCATTTATGTTAGTTTTTTTTTCAGTTTACATCTGTTTTTTATCAGTTTACATCCATTTTTCATCCATTTTTTATCAGTTTACATCCATCTTCATCTGTTTACATCTGGGTTTTTTTTTGTCAGTTTACATCCGTTTTTTGTCCGTTTTCATCAGTTTTTCATCCCTTTACATCTTTTTTTTTTATCTATTCCAGTTTTTTTTTTTAGAAGAAAAAAATTGGGTTTTCTTCTGTTCAAAAAAAAAACGTATGTTAACGCACACGGACATTAACGGATGTAAACAGATGATCATCTCTGTGTAACGTGAGCTGAAAACCGCTACTTGTTGTCTCCATCTGGACGTCGGTGACAACTCCGGAGCACATTGTCACCCTACAGCAGGAAGCTGCCTGTAGGAGGAGCTCCACGCCAGGGTTCCAACCAATGAAAATGGTTAAACTCGTGAAAGCGTCTGTGAGATCATCCGATCGTCCTTCCATGGCTGCGTTGTGGACCCCGGGGTGAGCGGAACCGTCTTTCGCTTTTCTCGCTGTGGCGCAAACACCTCCCCACCCCCACCTAAGCTGTAATCAGTTTACATCCATTTTCATCCATATTTTTTATCAGTTTACATCCATTTTGCATCCGTTTTTCATCCTTTTTTCATCCATTTGCATCTGTTTTTTTCAGCTGTTTTTTTTATCAGTTTACATCTGTTTTTCATCCATTTACGTTAGTTTTTCATCCGTTTTTTTCAGTTTATATCAGTTTTTCATCCGTTTTTTTCACCAGTTTTTCATCCATTTATGTTAGTTTTTCATCAGTTTGCATCCATTTTTCATCCATATTTTATCAGTTTACATCCATTTACATCAGTTTTTTTCATCAATTTGCATCCGATTTTCATCTGTTTTTTATCAGTTTACATCCGTTTTGCATCCATTTGCATCTGTTTTTCAGCCATTTTTTTATCAGTTTACATCTGTTTTTCATCCTTTTTTTCACCCATCTACGTTAGTTTTTCATCCATTTTTTCATCAGCTTTTCATCCATTTCTGTTAGTTTTTCATCAGTTTACATCCGTTTTTTTTTTTTTTTCCATTTACATCCATTTTTGCATCCGTTTTTTCATCTGTTTTTTTTTTTTTCAGTCTCCATCCGTTTTCATGTGTTTACATCTGTTTTTTTGTCAGTTTACATCCGTTTTTTTGTCCATTTTCATCAGTTTTTTTTCATCCGTTTTTTTTATCAGTTTACATCTGTTTTTTATCAGTTTTTTTTTCATCAGTTTTTCATCCATTTACGTTAGTTTTTCATCAGTTTACATCTGTTTTTTTTTTCTGTTTTTCATCAGTTTACATCCATTTACATCCGATTTTTCATCCATTTTTTTATCAGTTTACATCCATTTACATCCGATTTTCATCCATTTTTTTTTTTAAGTTTTCATCTGTTTTACATCTGTTTTTTTTTTTTTTCAGTTTACATCCGTTTTTGTCCGTTTTCATCAGTTTTTCATCCCTTTACATCTTTTTTTATCTATTCCAGTTTTTTTTAACAGAAGAAAAATTGGGTTTTCTTCTGTTCAGAAAAAAACGTATGTTACCGGACACGGACATTAACGGATGTAAACAGATGATCATCTCTGTGTAATGTGCGCTGAAACCGCTACTTTGCCTCCATCTGGAGCTCGGTGACAACCCCGGAGCACGTTGTCACCCTATAGCAGGACGTTGCCTGTAGGAGGAGCTCCACGCCAGGGTTCCAACCAATGAAAATGGTTAAAACTCGTGAAAGCGTCTGTGAGATCGTCCGATCGTCCTTCCATGGCTGCGTCGCGGACCCCGGGGCGAGCGGAACCGTCTTTCGCTTTTCTCGCTGTGGCGCAAACACCTCCCCACCCCCTCCTCAGCCGTAATCCGTCCTTCTCGGCGCTGTCAGGCTGACAAACGATCCGTGCGCTTCGAGGGATATTCCAGAATACACAGCAGCTCGGCGGGATTATTGATGCGCAAATTTCAGCCGAGCCGCGTGCTGAGCCGCCACGCTTTGCCAGAGACCGCCGTGATGGATGGCCCGAATCTTCGCTTTACAGACTTGATCTGTTGTTACTGTTTTTCAGCAACTTTGGTGACAAATGGCTGGATATGAAGGGGGGGGGGAAGGGGGGATTGATGGGGGTGGGGTGGGGGATTGATGGGGGGGGGGGGGATTGATGGAGGTGGGGGGGGGGGGGGGGATTGATGGAGGTGGTCAGAAGGATCCTGGAACGCTCGCATCACTCGTCATCTGATGAAACGTCTGCGCAGCTCTTCAAGGATCAGCTTGTCCAGAGAGAGGGATTTTCCATCAGAATCACCCGCCTGGTTCCCCTCGTATATCTCCCGCCAATTGCTGGGGGTTAAAGCTGAACTCCAGACCGCTGAATACACAGAGGGAAAAAAAAAGTATACGGGAGGTTTTTTTTTATTTATGGCGGAGCTGTGCAAATCTCAGGACTGGATGGACAAATTTAACAGATTATTATTTATTATTATTAATAATAATCCTGTATAATAATCTGTCAAATTTATGCATCCAGTCCTGGCATTTGCACAGCTCCGCCACACAGCACAGCCCTGTCTAGCTAATTACAGATAAGGAGGAGCTCAGGCTTAGCTGGGCCAATCAGCCGGGGGTACGAGATTTTCTGACATGCACCAGGGGCGTACCTACAGGAGTCGGGACTGCGGTCCGGGCCCCATGTTGCATGGGGGGGGCGGGGCTCCCATGTACGCCTGGATAGGAGGAGCAGTGGGGGGGGGGCTGCATTTAGAGGAATCAACCTCTCCGTGTTCCTCCTGCTGAATACCGCGTCTCCTCCTCTCAACGCTTAAGCCATCGGTGCCGCCCTTTAAGGGGTTTGTGGCATCAGGAGGCGGGGCTTGGTTTTGTGTCATGTGGCCGCCGATCACATGATCGGAAAGCTCCCAGCTGCAAGTAGCAATCGGAAGTGTTCCGTGGGGAGGGGGGGGGGCGGGCGCACGCTCTCGGCACATCTTCTGTTCACAATGGGTGCGCCGAGGTCCAAGTCCCAGCCGCCGAGTGTTCCCATATCTGTGGAGAAGTCATCCTCCATTCACACCTACGCAGAGGGTGCGTTTGAGCCGTTTCTGTTTTGCCGCGTTTTTGATGCGTTTTGCGGGGGGCGGGGGGGGTCATTTTTTTCAGTATTTTTCTTGTTGCTAGGCAGATTTAAAACACAAGTTTTTCATCAGTTTACATCCGTTTTTCATCCTTTTTTTATCTGTTTACATTCATTTTCTACCATTTGCCTTTGTTTTCATCCAATTTTTATCTGTTTACATCAATTTTTCATCCATTTACATCCTTTTTTTTCATCCGTTTACATCCGTTTTTCATCCATGTACATTTATTTTCATCCCTTTACATCAATTTTTCATTAGTTTACATCCATTTTTCATCCTGTTTTTCATCTCTTTTCATCCATTTTTCATCGGATGAAAATTAATGTAAACGGATGAAAATTGGATAAAAACAGATGAAAAATTGATGTACAGGGATGAAAATAAATGTACATGGATGAAAAACGGATGAAAATGAATGTAAACGGAGGAAAAAAAAATGTAAATGGACGAAAAATGTAAACAGATACAAATTGGATGAAAACGGATGAAAATTAATGTAAACCGTTTCATCCATTTACATTCATTTTCATCCATTTACATCTTTTTTTGCCCATTTACATCTGTTTTTCTTCTGTTTTTATCTATTTTTAATTCGTTTTCATCCGTTTTACTTTCGTTTTTCATTTTTTCCATCTGTTTAGATCCGTTTTCATCAATTTGCATCCGTTTACATCCGTTTTTCATTTTTTTTTCCTTCCGTTTACATCCGTTTTTTTCATCCATGTACATTTATTTTCATCCCTTTACATCAATTTTTTCATTAGTTTACATCCATTTTTCATCCTGTTTTTCATCTCTTTTCATTCATTTTTCATCGGATGAAAATTAATGTAAACGGATGAAAATTGGATAAAAACAGATGAAAAATTGATGTACAGGGATGAAAATAAATGTACATGGATGAAAAACGGATGAAAATGAATGTAAACGGAGGAAAAAAAAATGTAAATAGCCGAAAAAATGTAAACAGATACAAATTGGATGAAAACGGATGAAAATTAATGTAAACCGTTTCATCCATTTACATTCATTTTCATCCATTTACATCTTTTTTTGCCCATTTACATCTGTTTTCTTCTGTTTTTATCTATTTTTAATTCGTTTTCATCCGTTTACTTTCGTTTTTTCATTTTTTTTCATCTGTTTAGATCCGTTTTCATCAATTTACATCCGTTTACATCCGTTTTTCATTTTTTTTCCTTCCGTTTAGATCCGTTTTCATCCATTTACATCCATTTTTCATCCGTTTACATCTGTTTTTCATTTTTTTTCATGTTTTCATCTATTTATATTTGTGTTTCATCCGTTTACATCCATTTGTCATCTGTTTACATTCATTTTCATCATCTTTTTACATCCTTTTTTGCCCATTTATTATTATTATTATTATTATTATACAGGATTTATGGCGCCAATAGTTTGCGCAGCGCTGTACATTATAGTGGGAGACGATACAATTACAATACATTTCAGTACAGAAGGAATAGGAGGGCCATTTTCATCTGTTTTTGTCTGTTAGACCCGTTTTCATGCATTTTTTGTCCGTTCCGTTTTTTTATAGGGTTTTCTTCTGCTAAAAAACCCGAATGTCAACGGATGCAGACATTAACGGATGTAAACGCACGATCATCCGTTTACATCCGCTAGTCCATAGAAATACACGGGTGTCTGTTTTTCATCCGTAAACGGACATACGGAACGCCCGGGTGGAGGGGACCTCAACCACCTTTGGACTTTAAGGACTGTACTTGTGTGCTTAGTACACCAGCCTCAAAAACGCGTCACAAACGCAGGAAAAAACGCCGCAAAGACGCAATACATGCTTTTCTGCAGCATTTACATTGAAGTCTATAGAACCAAAAAAGCTACTTTTTGAGTTCCAAAAAACGCATCGGGGTGAAAACGCGGAGATGTGAGCGCGTCCCGTAGGAAATCGTAGTGCGTTTCTGCAAAACGCAGCGGAAAACGCGTAGGCGTCACCCCGGGGGTCAAGGAGTTAATTGAAGAAGAAGTTGACGTGAGAAGCTGATTGGCTCCCGTGCCCTCCAGGTTTAGTAAATCCCCTCCCCCATCTGTCCTTCCAGGAGCCCACCGACAGCCTAGAGGAGAGCCTGCTGTACTCCAGGCCGGAGTTCATCATCGGCACCGAGGGGGAGGAGGAGGAGAATCCCGCCCACAAACACGGCGATAATCCCGGAACTCACACCGAGGCCACGGAACCCGCCAACACAACAAGTACGACCACCAAATCTATACCCTCGTTGTTTAAAGGGTCACTCCACTCTCAGAGAAAAAATACAGCAAATAAAAAAAAAAGTATATCGCATGTTGTAAATCGAACGTTAAAAAAATTCCATTTTCTGTTAAATTCAGTTCAACGCGGAAACCTGGAGGGGTTCTGCACGCCGCTGGCGTAGGGAACGCCCCCCACAAATATGTCACTTCCTGCTTGTGTGATTAGTTCACTGATTTTCCCAGAAGTCTGCTCTAAGATACAAGTCAGATTTTAGGCATCCCCCGCAATAGGAATTTCAGTTTAGGTAAGGTTACATACTTCTAAAGGGATGCAGACCCTGCCTCTTTCCTAATCAGGACACTGAGCATGTACCAGATGATTATAATGATACCGACCCTCCCATTCAGAATCAACAGAAGTCTGCTGTAAGATAAAAGCCACATTTTGGGCTTCCCCTGCAATAGGAATTTCAGTTTAGGTGAGATACTCCGAAGATTAAATACTTCTAAAGGGATGCAAACCCTGCACCTTTCCTCATCAGAACACTTAGAGGGCACCAGGTCATTAAAATGAACCAGGCCCTCCCAATCAGAATAGTTTCAAGTCAGATTTTAGGCATCCCCTGCAAAAGAAATTTCAGTATAGGTGAGATACTCTAAGGATTAAATATTTCTAAAGGGATGCAGACCCTGCAGCTTTCCTCCTAAGAACACTTAGAAGGCACCAGGTGATTATAATGAAGCAGACCCTCCCATTCAGAATAGTCAGATTTTAGGCATCCTCTGCAGTAGAAATTTCAACTTAGGTGAAATACTCCCCCAAGGGTTTAAATACTTCTAAAGGGATGCAGACCCTGCAGCTTTCCTCATCAGAACACTGAGAGTGCACAGGTCATTTATAATGAACCAGACGCTCATATCCAGAATCAGTAGAAGTCTGCTGTAAGATACAAGTCAGCTTTTAGGCTTCCTTCGCAATAGAAATTTTAGTTTAGGTGAGATATTTCAAGGGCTAAATACTTCTAAAGGGATGCAGACCCTGCAGCTTTCCTCCTAAGAAGACTTAGAGGGCACCAGGTGATTATTATGAACAGATTGTCCCATTCAGAATCAGCAAAAGTCTTCTCTTAAATAAAAGTCAGATTTTAGGCATCTCCTGCAATAGGAATTTCAGTTTAGGTGAGATACTCCCGAGGATTAAATACTTCCAAAGGGATGCAGACTCTGTATCTTTTCTCATGAGAATACTGAGAGGGCACCAGGTCATTATAATGAACAAGACCCTCACATTCAGAATAGTTATAGGTCAGATTTTAGGCATCCCCTGCAATAAAAAAATTTCAGTTTAGGTAAGAGACTCCCCAAGGATTAAAATACTTTTAAAAAAGCTGATGGAAAAACTAACAAAAACAGAAAAACCTAGCAACAAATGATGCAACAGATGATATTTTTTCTCTATTGGTTAATAAAAAAAAATGCCGGCGCTCAAAAACGGCCAAAAACGCTGCGCTGAGATGTGAATGGACCCTGAATACAGAGCGCGGCGTCTGTGCAATCCGGCGTCTGATTTTCTTGGTTTTGCTGTAACAGATGTGAAGAACGACACGGATCAGAAGTTCTTCTACCAGCAGCTTCCTGTGACCCTGAAGCTAATATACACCATTCTCCAGGTACGTCCATTGTGGGGTGTGTCTAATGCCCCCCCCCCCCCGATATGTGATTGTTACATAGTTAGGGGTCTGTTGATGACAAAAAAAAAAAATTGCCTCAACACTCACAGCTCATTTTTGCTCCATCTAGTGGCCATAAGGTAGTACTTTCCTAATTGAGGTTTTTTTTAGGAAAATACCAAATTATGATCACTGGATGGAGCTAGAGATTGTAGAGAACAGAAATATTAGACGCAACATGGGGAATTGGTCACAATGGCCACCTCTATCTCTCTCTCTCTCTCCCCCCCCCCCCCCCTCTCTCCTTCTCCTCTCCTCTCTCCCCCATCTATCTATCTGCCCTCCTCTCCTTCTCTCTCTCTCCCTCGCTCTCCCTCTCCCCTCTATCTCTCCCCCCTCTCTCTCCTTCTCCCTCTCCCCCCCCCCCCCTCTCTCTCATCTCCATCTCTCTCCTCCCTCTCCTTCTCTTTCTCCTCTCTCTCTCTCATACTTCTCCCTCTCCCCCCTCCCTCTCCTTCTCTCTCCTCCCCTCCCCCCCCCTTCTCTCTCTTTCTCCCCCCCCCTCTCTCCTCTCCCTCTCTCCTCCTCCTCCTCCCTCCCTCTCCCTCTCTCCTCCTCCTCCTCCCTCCCTCTCCCTCTCTCTCCCCCCTCCTTATCTCTCTCTCCCCCTCTCTCTCTCCCCCTCCCTCTCTCTCTCCCTCTCTCTCCCTCCCTCCCCCCCCCCTCATTCTCTCTCTCTCCCCCCCCCTCTCTCTCTCTCTATACACACACACAATCTCCCCATGGAGTATATTTTTCAAAGCCCCCCATCCCCCTGCTACTCATAGGCACTGGTTAGGGGTGACTATACCAATTCTTTCAGCCTCCTCCTCCATTCATAGCTTCCAGTAATCTATGTATTTAGAATGGGTAGACGAACAAAAGGTCCACCTCCTCCATTCATGGAGCACTTCTCATCCATGTATAAGTGCTTCTGTGAATGGAGGACGGGGGGGGGGGGGGCGGAAAGGGTGGGTGTAGCCCAGCACTTTTGACAAGTGCCTATGACAAGTCCAGCCAATCAGATGTAACCCCCCTATGCAGGGTTATGGGATGGGGGAACTGAGGGTGGAAGACTTCCACTAAGGGACAAACCAGAGTGTCTCTCCCTCTCTTATTCATCTTTTATGTACTTAGGAAATGGCGAAGTTCGACGAGCCGGATATCCTGTTCAACATGCTGAATTGTCTGAAGATTCTCTGCCTGCATGGCGAGTGTCTTTACATTGCCAAGAAGGACCATCTTCCATTCCTCGCCTACATACAGGAGCATATGCTGATCTCCAGGTACACTGCCACACCTAGGGGCGGGGCCAGATCTTCTAGTCCCAAAGCATGCTGCTGTCAGTCAGGGGCCAGGCTTGGAGACCAGTAGCTATAGCAGTAGAGAGAAGTAGACCTTATGGGTCTGCTCCAAGCTGTGGATGGAAGGAAAAGGGTCACCCCACCCTGAGAAGAGGCGAGCCTGAGTCCGAGCGATTCCAGTGTCAGCCAATACAAGTGAAGGGACAGACGATGCTCAACTGACCCCAGGAGTCCAATGTTGAGGAATGGTTTCATTCGCCTTTCTGGCCTCACCCTCTGACGCAGTTCACCTCACCCACCGGGGCTTGGTCACAGAGTTAGCAGCAGATAGGCTTCCACCGACCAGCAGGATAAGTACACAAGCAGGTCACCTTGGCAGATGACATGGAGTCTAACAGGTGATCACCAGAGCTCCTGATGGTGGGGATGGGTTTTGCTGTGTTGTTACTACCAGGTCGCAGTCCTCAGGATCACCCCACTAGGAGATGAACAACCCGGGGTACAGTTACAGATATAGCAGGTAGGGATCAAACAGAAGCGTAGTCAGTAAACTAGCCAAAGGTCGGTAACAAGTGGTTGTGGATTGGGTTCAAGCAGAAGCATAGTGGAGGAACAAGCCAAAGGTCGGTAACAAGTGGTTGGTTGTGAATTGGGATCAAGAATTGTAGTGGAGGAACAAACCAAAGGTCGGTAACAAGTCGTTGTGGATTGGGATGAAGGAGCGTAGTGGAGAACAAGCCAAAGGTCGGTAACAAGTCGTTGTGGATTGGGATGAAGGAGCGTAGTGGAGAACAAGCCAAAGGTCGGTAACAAGTGGTTGTGGATTGGGATGAAGGAGCGTAGTGGAGAACAAGCCAAAGGTCGGTAACAAGTCGTTGTGGATTGGGATGAAGGAGCGTAGTGGAGAACAAGCCAAAGGTCGGTAACAAGTGGTTGTGGATTGGGATGAAGGAGCGTAGTGGAGAACAAGCCAAAGGTCGGTAACAAGTCGTTGTGGATTGGGATGAAGGAGCATAGTGGAGAACAAGCCAAAGGTCGGTAACAAGTCGTTGTGGATTGGGATGAAGGAGCATAGTGGAGAACAAGCCAAAGGTCGGTAACAAGTGGTTGTGGATTGGGATGAAGAAGGAGCATAGTGGAGGAACAAGCCAAAGGTCGGTAATAAGTGGCTGTGGATTGGGATCAAGAATTGTAGTGGAGGAACAAGCCAAAGGTCGGTAACAAGTCGTTGTGGATTGGAATGAAGGAGCATAGTGGAGAACAAGCCAAAGGTCGGTAACAAGTGGTTGTGGATTGGGATGAAGAAGGAGCATAGTGGAGGAACAAGCCAAAGGTCGGTAATAAGTGGCTGTGGATTGGGATCAAGCAGAAGCATAGTGGAGGAACAAGCCAAAGGTCAGTAACAAGGGGTTGTGGATTGGGATGAAGGAGTGTAGTGGAGGAACAAACCAAAGGTCGGTAATGAGTAGTAGTGGACATATGGATGGCTGCAGGAGTGACAAGAGTGAGATGTTGGCTGGAGAGCACACAATAATCTGGCAAACAGGAAGTGCAATTGCATTACTTAAATAGGAAGTTAATGGGAGGAGCAAAGGGTTCAAAGTTCAAGAGAAACGAGGTGCAAGGCAAGGATCAAGGCAAGGTATTGTCTAGGGAACTGTCCAGCACCTCAAATGGTTTATCAAGAAGAGACACTGCCATACTCAGCAGACATCGTAGGTTCAGACCCAGGTCCTGACAGGTGGGAATCTGGCTGACATTAGTTAGGAGATGGACAGAGGAGAACCATAACTGGAATGTGAAAATTCTCAGCCGCGTTGTAGCGTTGATTTTTTTTGACTGCTGATTGGTGGTTCACAAATGTTACAGACAAATGTGACATCACCTTCTCACCCACCAATTCCTGCACCTCACATCACCACAGTTCTTCACTCCTTATACTAGCTTCCAATGAAATGGAGGATATCCTCCAAGATTGGTCTACTTAGTTATGAAGCCCTAAATAACCTGGGAGCCACCTACCTGATGGAACCTCTGGTTACCTATACTGCTACCTCCTTCCTTCACGGGCCCAGTGTCAGGAATCAGTAGCAGGGACGGCCAGATCTGTCAGGAATCAGTAGCAGGGACGTCCAGATCTGTCAGGAATCAGTAGCAGGGACGGCCAGATCTGTCAGGAATCAGTAGCAGGGACGGCTAGATCTGTCAGGAATCAGTAGCAGGGACGGCCAGATCTGTCAGGAATCAGTAGCAGGGACGGCTAGATCTGTCAGGAATCAGTAGCAGGGACGGGCAGATCTGTCAGGAATCAGCAGGGACGGCTAGATCTGTCAGGAATCAGTAGCAGGGACGGCCAGATCTGTCAGGAATCAGTAGCAGGGACGGCCAGATCTGTCAGGAATCAGTAGCAGGGACGGCTAGATCTGTCAGGAATCAGTAGCAGGGACGGGCAGATCTGTCAGGAATCAGTAGCAGGGACGGCCAGATCTGTCAGGAATCAGTAGCAGGGAGGGATGGATCTGTCAGGAATCAGTAGCAGGGACGGGCAGATCTGTCAGGAATCAGCAGGGACGGCTAGATCTGTCAGGAATCAGTAGCAGGGACGGCCAGATCTGTCAGGAATCAGTAGCAGGGACGGCCAGAGATCTGTCAGGAATCAGTAGCAGGGACGTCCAGATCTGTCAGGAATCAGTAGCAGGGACGGCTAGATCTGTCAGGAATCAGTAGCAGGGACGGCTAGATCTGTCAGGAATCAGTAGCAGGGACGGGCAGATCTGTCAGGAATCAGTAGCAGGGACGTCCAGATCTGTCAGGAATCAGTAGCAGGGACGTCCAGATCTGTCAGGAATCAGTAGCAGGGACGGGCAGATCTGTCAGGAATCAGTAGCAGGGACGTCCAGATCTGTCAGGAATCAGTAGCAGGGACGGGCAGATCTGTCAGGAATCAGTAGCAGGGACGGCCAGATCTGTCAGGAATCAGTAGCAGGGACGGCTAGATCTGTCAGGAATCAGTAGCAGGGACGGCCAGATCTGTCAGGAATCAGTAGCAGGGACAGCTAGATCTGTCAGGAATCAGTAGCAGGGACGGCCAGATCTGGGCGGCTACACTTAGGTAACTGGGACCAGACTGTATGATTTAAGTGAGGGTTATTAACATGAAACAAAATCCATCCAAAAACCAGAAAACATAAAGATATAAGTGAACCAAAACCCCGATGACAAAATACGTAACGAAACAACGTAACAGAGTGACACAAACCTAACTAATAAACTATAAACAATATATATAAATGGGGAACACAGAACAGCAGAGGAAACCTGGAGGTGCAAAGAACATATAGGAAGGAGGAAAACAAAACTGGGATCGGGAACAAGAGGAAATAGGAACAAGGAAGTAGGAGGATGGTGTACAGGGAGGATGGTGTACAGGGAGGAGGGTGTACAGGGAGGAGGGTGTACAGGGAGGAGGGTGTACAGGGAGGAGGGTGTACAGGGAGGAGGGTGTGTACAGGGAGGGGGGTGTGTACAGGGAGGGGGGTGTGTACAGGGAGGAGGGTGTACACAGGGGGTGTGTAGGGAGGGGGTGTGTACA